CATGGTCTACAGAACCCAACGTACTGAGAACCGTTTTCAAAACTGAAACTAGGTCTATCCTTGAAGAAAGCAGTCTTCTGGGATTTGGCACCGTGTATATGTGGTATCAACCGACGTTTTGGAGGAACGTATCGCCTCCATCTTCAGGGTAGAAGAAAAAATATAAGAAATCTGCAAGCGAAGAGACCGAAACGTCGGTTAACACCACATATACACGGTGCCAAATCCCAGAAGACTGCTTTCTTCATAGTCACCGCCGTGAAAGCCTCAAATCTTACATAGGTCTATCCTTGTCAGCACCCTGTTCCCAAACACCCTCAGTCTATGTTCCTCCCTTAAAGCCAGAGACCAAGTTTCACACCCATTCAGAATCGCAGGCAAAATTATAGTTTCATGTATTATAATTTTTATTTTTTTGACAGCAGACGAGAAGACAAAATGTTCTGGACTGAACGATAGCAAGTATTACCAGAATTCAAACTGAACTGTACCACATTTTCAAAGCATCTGTTGGCTAGCTTTATGTCATGATATTCCCTGCATTTTGGTGACGAGATAGCAACATGTACGTAGTTTTCTCTGCGTTTACTTCTAGATCAACCTCCTTACTAGCTTCCATGAGAGATTCTGTGTTTCTTTGTGGCATATACACGTATGTTGTCCTGCAATACATTTACATCACCAGCATAAACTTCTACGCTAACATGTGTGTGATACGTACGTCCTAATTAGGTTCGAATGCCAAGATCAAAATCCCTGAAATTTTGAGGAAGAATGTGTAAATGATGTCTTTATTATAGCATAAAAATACTGCGAGAAACTCCAAATGAGCATCAATCGAATTACATATGCGTAGTGGTTTTATAAATAAGGTAGGCTGCATTAACACTACTTTTTCTCTCTCAAAGATTTCATCTGTCTAGCGCAAGCGACAATAAAACCATTTTAAAGTCAAAGAGTGTGGCCTTCTGGCGCTTTCTCCAAGCCACACCGTGTTACAACCGAAAAGATCGCACTCTTCATAGTCACCGCCAGCAGAACATCAATTGAAAGTTTTGATTATCGAAATACTCCTATATCGATTTCCTGCAAAATACGAAATTTTAAATAACAACTGATCGGTATGAAAAAAAGCAAACTTGTCCCTGTGCTTAGCTAATTAAGCACTACGCCATGAAGGCGTATGAGGGAGTGTATATGTAGATCAACATCTTTTTGACCATAACAGTAATTTGAGGGTGAGTGGTCAGCTTCATGCCCCGGCCGCTTTACCGCCGGGAAATGAGCCCCCAGTACCCATTTCATAGGAGGCTTAGTGGACCCCCGAACCGGTCTGGATGATATGGAGGGTATAAAATTCCTGATTGTACCGGGATTCGGAACTCCGACCCCTCGGTTGTGAGGATTGATATGTAGCAGGAGGAAAACAATTTTTATTAGCATGGGAAGATTCATAATTTGCATTCAGTCGGACAATATTAAAGTAACCAAATAAAGGATGATACGAATGGGACATGTAGCGCCCACTGGGGGAAGGGGAGTGCGATATGCATGCGGTGTTTTACTCTGAAGAGATCACTTGGAAAATCTGAGCGTAGATAGAAGGAAATATTAAAATGCATCTCGAGAGTTCTAATATTGCGAGGGACTTGAAATAGCAAACGCGACTTGGGCACAGGTTCCAGCTCCCGAAATCAGTCCATTTTATCTCCATCTTCCTTTTTACTCTTTCCCGGGAAGATCTCCCGGGTTAAGTGAATTCATTGGTTTTGTAACATTCTTCCATCCTCGGTTTTAAGCCAAGGAATGACGTCCTGTGATGTCAGTTTACTAGAAAGAAGTCTTTTCAAAATTAACTTCTTCTGAGAGTATTTGAATCTGATATGAAGCGTTTGTAGCTTATGTATTCAAAAGGATTTAATAAACAAACTCCAAGAAAAATAATCACATCTTGACCTCGGTCTTCTTATCATTAATTTCATTTCTCGTGCCTCCGTAAAAGAGCGGCCGTAAGCTAGAGCTCTGCCTCCAGAGCAGGTCTAGACATTTTTCATTCTCCCTTACTCGCAATCTGTAACTCGGCCTCACTTGATGCTTCATAATCGTTGGTACAATTTCGTAAATGCAGAAACAGTGGGAGGTTAGCGACTATGATGCTCGCTGTGAAGCCTCGCTTATCAAATTAATTCTGGAGATTACATGAGGGAACCTCGCTAAACCGTTTTATACGTGCATATAAACACACAGCTCATCTAGAAACTGTACTTAAATGTAACTTATCACATTGTGCATCCTTTGTTATAAACGAGACTTCGACGACTGAACCATGACTGTATAACCATTATACTGTAGATGACATGCCGCTTCAAAGATGTAGTAGTTTAAGTTAATGAGGCTATTTCATAAGATTTGGTCTGTTTAAGTACCCGTTAACAGTCGTGAATAACCAGTGGATTTGAATCGACTTTGAGCTAGTAACTGTTATTAAACCGATGAGGAACAAATTTGTTATGGTGTCACGCTGCTTATGTCCGGATGAATGGCTATGCTCAAATACAAAAGGGCCAAAAAGTCACTTAACCTAAAAAATACTCTCGTATTAACGTAAATGTTCAGATTCAAGCCTGCCAGTCAGTTTATAGAACGGTATCACAGCGCTGTGAATTGTGCGTTGAACATGGAGGATCTCATTTCGAATGATTTTGTAACTTCGGCAAGTAATAAAACAATTAGAATGTATTTTAGTGTATTATTTTCTAACCAGTTAACTGACTTTTGGGTCAATCTGATAGTGTTTGTTGTTCAGTATGTTCCTTTGAAGGACTATAGAAAACCATCAAAGCCCACAGGAAAATATAAAATTTTGGTGGATGTTCAAAAGCATAATTTTCTGATTACTTGATATAAGATAGCTCTAAAAGTATCCGTAGACGGCTAAGTTCTGAAAAGCACTGCATTGTCGGTTTTGACGCCGTGTAGTCTGCTAGATATTTAATAAATGTTCGGAAAACTTACTGTTTCTATCTTCAGAGTCGAAGATAAGCCAAACATGCAATTAAGTAGATAACGTGAAGAGTGTTGCTGGTTCCTTAGTGAGATTGCTCTTCTATCCTGAAGATGGAAGCAATAAGTTCGTCGAAACTTAAGAAACTTCTACCAGACTAGACGCCGTCACATCCAAGACTATAACATTCTTCACTGATGACGTCGTGATAGTCTCAGATTTCACAAGACTAATTTCTCTTTTCACGTATACAGCGCAAACTCGATAATCCAAACTGGCCTGTTCGGACTACTGAAACCAGTAGGTTTTCAAATACAATTCTATTATTTTATTAGAAATATTTATTCATGAGGTTTATAGCTACATTTTATCTAAAGCATACAAGAATTTGTAGATTCTAAAAGATTATAACGCTGGCGTTATTGGGATTTTGGACTTTGCCCAGCGGCCGGTATTCTAAGAACACCAGAGAACACAGTGTTTCGGAAACTGGATCTGTTTCTGTCCTCAGATGATGTGGGAGACGCTATTCTGCTGGGCGCATTAGAAAGAGCTAACCACAGCCACTGGACAACCTATGTCAGTATACAAGTAACCAGAGCTCTCTAAACACCTGGTGCCAGGTTCTGTTGCACTGACATAGGTTACCCAGTGACTGAGGTTAGTTCTTTCTAAAGAACCCGACGCAATAGGTATCTTCTTCCCCATCATACGAGTATACGGACGGAAATGTAGTGTTCTCTAGTGTTTTTAGAATACCGGACAATGACAAAGTCCAGAAACACAGTAATTTCAAGAGCCCAAAACATGTCCCGAACCAGCGGACGTTCGACTACAGACCGGGCTCGGGGCAAGCCGAAGTCGGGTTA